GACATCTTTATTTAAATAACGCCTCAAAAATGCTCTCAATGAGTTCATTATCAAAGTCAATGTCAATTTCATCACTTTAAATTTCTGATCCATATAGCATTCTAACAAATGAGCTGAGGAAAAGGTGTTTCTTTTTACATCATTTTTCTTTGGAAACTACCCAGCATTTTTCATTTATATCTAACTTGAATTTCTATCAGAGGAATAAAAATAAAACAATTCCACTAATAACGTTTAGTGGTCAGTAAAATCATTTCATCAGTCAACTTAATGCCAAAAATAATGGTGTGTGTTATTTGACAGTTCAACTGGCTTTCAGTTACAGTATATATATTTTCAATTTTAGCTCTCTACTCCAAATATAGTCAGTAAGCTATATAAGTACAACAACTTCAGAATGCACTTAAAAATAAGGAAAACATTTCTAATGCCACATACCTGGAGCTCTCGAATGTCAAACTGCTCTTCAAAGATATAAGCAGCATCAGCTCCTGCTGCAAGGGCTCCCATATTGGCCAGGTAACCACAGTATCCACCCATGGTCTCAATGATGAATACACGACGTTTGGTACCACTGGCTGACTGTTTGATGCGATCACAAGTCTACTCAAAGACAATATATTTGAAATTAAGAACTCGGAATTTTTATACTTTTTTGTGTGCCAGGCAATTTTGTGTCACATACTGACGAAAGACTTCATTAAAAATATATTAAGTAATAATTCAATATATCATAACCCATTTCAACATCGTAAGTCATCACAAAGTAATTTTTGAAATGTTTTGCTAGCATTAAAGCATTTGTTTCACATTTGAAAAATAAATGTGTCTCATACATGGACATAATAGGTCATCATAGCTTTATAACTGAGACACTAGTTCATACAGTAGAGCTTTTTAAACAACTTGAGTATATATTTTTCTTCATTTTGACTCCATTTATTATTGAAAGTTTATATAATCTTATCACTGATATTAAAATTCTCGGTGTTCCAGCCTGTGCTTAACAGCTACAGGCCTTAGACATGTTCTGCCCTGCAAATTAATAAGGATATTCGCATAAATATAATTCTCTCCAGCACTACTGGAGTAATTGTTCCTGTTTTTGTTGTTTTTATTTGCATCTTGCTCTGACCAGCATAAAAAATACTCTCTACTAATAGATACAATGCTCACGTAGCACTGGTAACACCAACATTTGCTACAGTTGCCCAAGAGACTGAAGAAGTCATGGAGAAAAACTTCCAGGACCTAAGAAACTTACATTGCTACATATCTCCAGGCACCTCAGCAGCACTCAAGAAATTAGCTGACAAACTCTTACTTCCTAGAATGGAGCTATTTCTACAGCAACCGTTCAACGTTATTTTTGAAGTTGTTAGACAAAGGTGCTTCCTTTCAGGAAGAGATTAAGTAATAAATGTTACATGGGAGCTGGTGACAAGAGAAACTATGTGAACAGAATGTACTGTTCCAACATCGTGTCTGTTTGGTAAAAATAAAAAATGAAGGCATCAAATCATAGAAACCTTAGAGTTGGAAGGGACCTTTAAAGGCCATCTAGTCCAACTCCCCTGCAGTGAACAGGGCCATACACAGCTACATCAGGTTGTCCAGGGCCTGATCCAGCCTAGCCTTGAAAGTCTCCAGGGACAGGGCATCAAATGCATCTCTGGGCAACCTGTTCCACTGCCTCACCACTCTCACTATAAAAGATTTCTTCCTTATATATAACCTAAATCCACCCTCTTTAAGCTTGAAGCCATTTCCCCTTGCTCTACCACAACAGACCCTACTGAAGAGTCTGTCCCCTTCTTTCCTGAGCTCCCCTTGAGGTACTGGCAGGCTGCTCTCAGGTCACCTTGCAGCCTTCTCTTATCCAGGCTTAACAGCCTGTTCTTTCAGCCTGTCCTCATAGGAGAGCACTTGGCAATTTCATCATCTTGAAATTTGAATTATGTTAGTTTTAAAAAATTCTCATGCCTTAATAACGTTCTGAATGAGCAGTTACAGATCCTGTAACTTTTGAGGCATTTTCAATTTCAGAGATTTTGACAACCAGATAACTAAATCAGATAACCAAAAATTGGATTTCAAGCAGAAATTTTGATTGAGTTAAAAGGGCCTCAAAAATATACCAAAACAGACCACATAACAAATATTGAAATTACATGTGAAGAAACAAATTAATAATGTTTAATACATTCAATTACTAAAACTACTAAGTATTTAAGTCCAGCTACCAGAAGATGCACGTAATATCATATGTGCATACTCCCCTCTCACACCCCCCCCCCCATACACACACAAGTGTAGAATTCACACAAATGCATTCAAAACACAGACTGATATTCTGTTATCCTGAACAGAAAGTATCTGTGTAAACTAAGCATTTTAGACTGAACTTCACTATTTTTTCAAGACGTTCTTTCTTTTACCTGTCTTAGACTTGACAGTCTATTCAATCACTCAGCTTTCCTGTTCCAGATGTGCTTTTCTAAGAACTGCTGTAAAATGCTAACATTTGATATATGGATATAAAAACCTCATTACTTTTAACAGTGGCAGGCATTAACTTATATATATATATCTGCCTGGAACTGGATTGATATTTCATTCAAATTATGATATAAAAAAATACTGACATTAGAGACTGAAGAAATAAAAACACACCTGAAGGTTTCCTTCACTTTGAAAGACCTAAAACGTTTGTTAACTCCACACTTTCCATGTAAGGTTTCCAGGTGCTGGTAACAGAACAAATTTTCTGCTTTTTTATAAATTATGAGTGAAGACCTAGATTGTCCTAAGTAACAACAATCATCGTTTGTTTTGGGGATTACTCATTTTAGATTTATTTAGAAGAATTTCCATTACTGACTATACAAGATACATGCAAGTAGAAAAACTGTCTGCTATTCTTCCTTTCCTGGAATGACTCGTGACAGAAATATTCAAATACCAAAATGGCACTGATCAATTTTAAAGAAATTCAGAAAGTAACTTTCTTATTTGTAACATACAAGATATACTAAAAAGCTCCTTATTCACCCAGCAGCTCAAGACTTATAGAAAGCATTAAATTAGACTAGACCAAATAACTCAAGGCTTGGAAAGACATGTTTACTGCACGTACGCATGTATTTAATGCCAGTGTTGATCTTCTGCAATCTAGCAGCCATACAGTCCATCCACAAGCCTGCTGTAGACCATCTTTAAAAACTGGTACCATATTGCTTTCTAAGCAACACAATACCATGGCAAGAGGTAGCATTAGGTATTAAAACCAGAAGTCAATTCCTCTATGTCTCAAATTCCTGAATGTCCTCGAAGTTTTTGTATGGATTTGCACCTACTGTATCTTGCCACATTGCTATCTCCTTATATTCTAGTGTTTTCATGGTGAAATTTAACTTACTTCTAGTGATTGTGATAAGAAAACAAAGAAACAGCTTTTTACAATGAGGTTATATTCCATGGTTTAGAAAAACTGCAAGTTCAACATCTCTCACTGACCAACCCATAATGTATTCTGATTCAGCACATTAAAAAAAGCTCCTGTAGATAAATGACTATGTAAATAAATCAGTACCTGAGCAGGAAAGCAAATCCGCATTTCTGAAACCTCAGGATCTCCATTCAAACTTTCTTGGTCAATTGCTTCATAATTATTTATGTGTATTGATAACAGGAGTTCGGATAAAACTCAGAGCTATTCAGAGGTTTACTCACTTGTGTAAGTTATCATCCCAGATCCCTTTTCTGTTGTTTCAGCAGACTTTGTGAAATGTAAAGAATTACAGAGTTCATACAGCAGTTGTACCCAAGAGAAAAAGCAGACTGTTCTGATCAAAATGGAAAGCTTCAGTCATAGCAAGATCTCTAACAGACTAAACTGCTTGTGCAATCCTTATATTTACATGCACTTAATAAACGTTAGCCCTAATGTAGTCCATAGGATCATTCATGTGTTTAGCACTAACTACATAACAGAACATTTTAAATACACTAAGCTCACTTGCTGGCCCATGAAATGAATGTGGCATTTGTCTACGATATCTGCTTTCATCATTCAGCTATGAGGAGCTACTTCAGTTAAATAAAATAATCATAAAATAAATTGAAATTTTAGAAAAGCAAAATCTTATTTTCAGAAAAAAAAAAACAAAAAAACAAAAAAACAAAAAAACACAAAACCAAAAGCCCCTAATCACTAATGCAATAGTCTTGGATAACAAAACAGAATCTCAAAAGATGAACACCAATTATAATGAATTTTTTTAATCAGTCTTGGAAAAAACATCTAAAACATAAAAATAACAGTGACTGAATAATTTACATTTAAAGGTTTTTAAGTATCCTGATCTTATGCATTTTATCATCTTAACTTTTAAAACATATGTAGTCTTACCTCCACAATAGCATTCAAGGCAGTGTCAGCACCAATGCTAAAGTCTGTGCCTGGCACATTGTTGCTAATAGTAGCAGGCAACACACAGATTGGTACGCAAAACTCCTCAAAGCAGGAACGTGCCTCATGTAGCTGCAGACAACTTTCATAGGCCTGAAGCAGTGGTACAAGTATGAGTGATACATTCTTTGTCTTTGCATTACTGTGCTAATGACTCCTTGCATGTGCTGGTAAATTTGGCTGTCCATTGGCCCAAACACAATTGGTGAGATTATTGGGGGTGCATCCTGTACATACCACAACAGTGCACTGGGCTTGCATTGGCACAGTGCTCTTTGAGGAAATGCAGATTAGTGCAGGTTAATACAGAGTGAATATGAAGTGTGCACAGCATTAAAGGTCTGAAGCAATTTAGCAGGAAAAAGCAGCATAAATGTAGATTGGAAATCTTTCTACAAAAAGACACTTAAAGAACAGTTTGGAACACATTGAGTTCAGAAAGTTGTCTAGAAAAAATTAATTTAAAGCTATTTAAAGGAAATACGTAAAAAAGGGTGGTTTTTTGTTGTTGGTTTTTTTTTTTTGTTTGTTTGTTTGTTTGTTTGTTTTGAATATTATGTTATCCTATCTAGTCAAGACACACACATCCATTTCCACTGAGAGAAAGAAGAAAAAAAGTTCCTACACTTTCCCAGATTCTATCAACACACGCATCTGCTTCTAGGGATACAGACTGGACAGAGGTCCAGAAAAATCCAAGAACGTGTGCGTATGGATGCGTTATAGTTTACAAGTAAATGTCAAAGATACTTTGAGAAGCAGCTGTAGGTTCCTGGGAGGATTCCAAATACTACATAATAAATTAGCATGTGAAAAGGACTAGGTATTCCTAACAGCAATCAAAACACTTGAAGTTCAAGCTGTTTTTAAGTAACTTTAAGTTACATTATTCCAATTGTATCTAATTTAAACTAATTCAGTATTTCTTATATGTGGCAATTTTTCAAACTGCCTATGTAATGACTCTCAATGAGAAAGCCTAATTACATAGTATGTTCCCACTTTGTTAATGTCTTTCTCCCAGAAAAGAATGATGCTCACAGAAGGTTCATCTCTCCAATTTCTCAGATCAGTTCAAAAAAGCAAATCAAATTATTAGTACCTTATCTTCACAAATATCTGCTTGGTTGCCAATTTAAGCAATAACTTGAAAGAAAGTAATGGGGAAAAGATTCACCCATGCACGCTCTGCTTATAGACTCTTTCCTCCAGATAAATCAGATTCCATTCAGTGAAAAGATTTGTCATCTGACAGTACATGAATGAAGTGCAAATTGAGTTTCTAAAGTCTATGCCAAATTTAGGTATTATTTCGGAACTTTTCAACTAAGATCAGTGCTAGGATGCATTTCCCAAATGATGTCTGAAACAGTCTAAAATGCTGCTAAAAATATTGCTAATTCAGTCCTGTAGCTCTGATACTGAGAAGCAGCATAGGTAGAAGATACATTTATATATATTAAAAACATATAATCTATTTAATTTATTTATTTGGCAAATTAGACTTCACTGAGAATATTTCAGTATGTAGGAATTGCCTAGCCCAATTCAGTCAGTTGGAACTTTTGTCACTACTGAAACAAAATGGTGATAAAACCATAAGGCTTCCTGAAGAAGTGGAAGAAAACACCGATAAGTTTCTCCAAAAAGTTTTGTAATTAGACTTTTGGGAAATTGAGTTGAAGGAAAAATTTAGAGCAGTAACTAACACAATTGGTTAGTTATGATATGTAAAGATATGTTTTACTTGCATTAAATATTGCCATTTCATTTGATGCAAGTGATTTTAGCAAACATATCCAAAGATTGCACCTCCACCAAGCATAAGCATTAGGTAATTATATCTTAGCATCACTGCAAAGTATGTGAAAAAAAATCAAAAAATTAAAAAAAAAAAAAAAAAGAAAACACAGCTTAACAATTATGAAATGTAAATAAGAAATTGGTGGTTTTAATATTAGCTTTACAATTCCTTTTTAAATTATTTTTATATGAGGATTACAATAAGATCATAGAGGGATACCGTACCACTTAAATAATATGGTTTATTTTTTTCCATATGCTTTTATTACATTCTTATTATTTAGAAGGGTACAGGAAGAATCAAAGATGCTTTATAAAAATACATGCAGTCAAACAGACTGCAGTTTGTTTACTTTATGTTAAGCTAATGCAAAAAGTCTATTGAAAAAGGATGGATTTATTGCCAGATCTCCCCAGCCACACTGCTAGGACTGACACGGATGAAAATTTAATTGGATAGTTAGTTTGGAACTAATTTTCAGCTGGTTCAGCTGCCTGATTCAGATTAATTCAGTCACAGATGCTAGTATCAACACTAGCAAAATACAGGGGAGCAGTCAATCCTTGTCAAGAAAACTGCAAAAAGATTGCATTAGGACCATTTAACAAGCTTTCTTCACTCCTCAATGAGTAAGGTTCTTCTTGAGGCTGTTCCTTTTCTCACAACCAGCTGATCACTTTGTATGCATTTCCCTTTGAATTAAGTTAAAGGCAGACTGACTTTTTGAGCATATCAGAGTTTTAGCCTCTTGCATTTTTAGGTTTTTTTGTCCTCCATCTCTAGTTCATCATACTGACTCACTTCCTCATTCAGTTCTACATGCCCTAAATAAAATATATATTCTGCCATTCAATACATAGTTTCAGTTTATTTCTCCCTCCATCAGTAGGCTTTCTTTTCAAATTAAATTTTCATCTTCCCCATATTTTTCCCCCATGTTCTATAGCTGAAAATTTTAACTGTGTATTTATTCTTTTACTTACAAAGTAAATTTCTACTTACTAGTTTCACCCACAGCATGTATAATCTCCTTTTTAAATGGATATTAAATAACAGCAATACACAGCCTTCACATTTGTGTGGAAAAAAATGGAACACTTCTTCCTTGTCACATTCCAGAAGTCTGCCATCAGCAAAAATACTCTATTCATTTCATTGAATTACTAATATGAATGTGAGGACATACATGTTTTTATTCAAATAATTACTTTCTTGCTGTTTCTGTTGACAAAACTCCAAATTCATGTTCTTATCCTGCAATTCTAAACAATTTATTACACCTACTTTGATACATAAGCCTTAAGCATACCCTATTCACACAAAAAAAACCCTCCAGGATTCTCAAGCTATTTGATATTGTTGAGTTTTCACTGACAATTTTTCTCACTGATCTTAAACTAATGATAAAATAGAGCATACAAGCAAATTTAAAATGCTGCTCAAAAGAATCCATGCTCTACTATTAAGATGATTAAAAGCCTACATTTTAAAATACAAATGGAAAAAAAAAATTGAGTCAAGAATCTGTCATACAATCTGAATTCTACTTGTTGACAAACACACTATCCACTACCCATGAGTTAGAACAAGCCAAGTGTCATGGTCTCACCTAATCTCTTATTCAGAAATTCTGAAATTATTTACACATTATGTGCTATCTTTGCTAAATCCACCTAGAAAGAAACAGTTAATGTTAAAAGTAAGTTTAAGACGGTTGATATCTTCGTTAGTCTGCTTTTCCTTGTAAAGGCAACACAATAACATCTTATTTGCAAATGTCTCTAGGTAACACTTCCATGCTTTGATAATTTTCAAGCTGACAATATACTGACAAATGTCTAGCAATGCCAAACACTAACAAGGCCTCGTTAACCAGCAGAGAAGAATGTACTTACCTTACTGAAAGTTGTCAATTAAACAGAAATACGAGCAGTACACAAAAAAACTAAGCGCGATATCATTTAGGTGTGCTAATCTGAAACCTCAGAAATGCTAACCTGAAAGTGCTACAAACTGTGACACGTTTATTCATCTAACAGCTGCAATAGGAATGAAAATTAAGAGACTTGTACTGAGCCTATCAGTCATACAAGGGAGAGCATCACTATGGAGACTAATTTGAACATGTGACAAAACAACAAAAGGAAACACTTTTCATTATCTCTTTAGAGGATCACTTTCAAACAAACAAGGGAGGCAACTGCAAATATATTAACCAGAATTTTTTCTCCAATGTGAAAGATTTCTTTCCCCCCCCCCCCCAAAAAAAAAAAAGAATATAACTTAGTTTTCTACTGGCTCTAAGCTAAATCCTGAAATGTCGTTACATTTCATATTTACTTCAGAGAAAATTCTAGGCAAAATAAAAAACAGGAACAAGACAAAAGCTATTGATAAAGAACAACATATTGAAAAGTTCTCAACTACTGCATTGAAAATATGGAGTTACTGACACTTTATTGTCTAATGGAGTCATATGATACCTAGGAATCCAAGTTTAAAGCAAAACACAGCAACAGCATGGAGAAAGGGAGAGAGAAAGAGATCCTGCTCTACGTGAAATAACCTACAAAAAGAAGGCAGTTACATAAACACACAGATTATGAAGGAAGAAAGAAGAGAACAGAAGGTGTCATGCACAGTCACTTTACTCACCTCAATCATTTTGGAGAGATATTTTTATTTACCAGAACTGGAAACAATGTTAATCTTTATAAAGAATACATTCAAAGCAAATTTTGCTTAGCTTGTATATGTTTGTCCATCAAACTGTTGCCTTGAACAAGATGAAATTTGTTAACTCAAGGGTTTATTTTTCTGAATATAAAAATATTTATGTTGGTATGGTAAAATGAAAATAACAGGTGAAAATTAGGTAAGTGCTCTTCAGGCTGAAAGCATTTGAGGAATCGTTGAAATTTCTCAAAATAATGTTTTAAATTTTTACAAACACAGCTAAGTGATAAGGAACTGTCAGTTCAGTTTCAAAATGAATCTGAGATGTTATTCCCATTTAAAATGTACATCGTGTTCCTTGTTTTTTAACTTTAAAAAATACAGCTCAATATGTACAATTAATGAAAAAGTTCATTACAAAGACGAAACAATTACTTTGTAAGTGAAAATGTAAATTCAATTTTAAAGAGGAATGCTCTATTAATACTTTCTTGTGTTTTAAACAAACTACGGACAATTTGCAAACGTATCTGTGATGCATATATGCACCATACTGAAGAGAAAAAAAACCTGAAGGAAGTGTTACATTCCCACTGGTGTTGCATAGACAAAATTATGTCAGATTATATAGAAGCAGAATTTCTTTTCTTAGCACAGGTACAACAAATTAATGCTTCGTAAGTGATTCAGGTGAACTGTAAGTATACTTTATAATGCCCTTTGTGTGATATTTGTCAATTCTCATTCTATCCAACTAAGTTCAGTTTTAATTGATGTGTTTTTCATTTACATTACTGATATTTTTTTTTTTTTTAAATACATCACAGTATGTCTCAGCTGTTTATATAATAATCATTTGTTCTATTATTAAAGTTCCCATAGTTACTATTATTACAGAAATGATTTCACAAATAAGGATCAATTTCTGAACGGAATAAGATTCGCTTGGGACTTGTCACAGCTGGTTGTATAGGCACTTTGTATATATAAAAGGGATTTCTTCCTCTACAATATATCAAATGATCACCAAGTCCAAGCTTTATATTTTTCTTCTCCTGTAAACAATGAATATCCATAATCCTATTTTATATTTTAGGAATTCAAAGATCACTGTAGTTTCAGAACTACTTCTGAGACCACAAAACTATTTTTCTAAACGAGCATCGTAAACACAGCAGTATCAAGTAACTACATCATTTCCCAGGTTAGATTTCCAAAGTTCTGGTCTATAAAAATATCCAGCTCTTGCCAATGTAGTCAGTTTTAAACACAACTGCTTTGTTAGTAAGCGCATACACCAGAATAGACTTACATCAGTGATAGTGTTCAGAGCAGTATCTGCACCAATGCTGAAATCTGAACCCGGTACATTGTTGGATACTGTTGCAGGAACCATAACCATTGGAACACAGAATTCATCATATTTCTCTCGGGCAGCTGACAATTCCAAAAGTCCGAGGTACGCCTGTCGGGCACAGGCATCGGGTGAAAAATTAGGATGAATACAATAAGGGCAAGGTTAGAATGATAAAATGGAACAGGCCACAGGGAGAGCCATTTCTACCACGACACACTTCAGCAAGTCAAAACTGTAAGGATTCACTAAAATGTGATACACACACAAACACACAGGGTTAAAAACACATACGCATCTGAAAATAAAAAACAAACAGAACACTTAAGCAAATATATAATTCTGATATAACAAGGTTGCTTTGCGCAACACAAAAATACTGCATAATAGATAGTTTCCCAATCTTCAGGTACTCCTCATTAGAAATCTTACTATTCTTCAACTATATCAACATCCAACAGAGTGGGAAAATAATAATAAATGATGATTCGTTCCTTAGGAAGAAGCATTTAAGCACATTCTTTTCAACAAACAGTTGACTAATAAATACACTGCGGAAATGAGGCCACTCCTAATGGTACCATTTTGGTAAAATGCGATCAACATGAAATACTGGGGCAAAGAAGGGGAAAATATAAATTATAGATTTTGAAATGCATTATGTGAAAAGAATGCCGGAAGTCCATAGTATAATTACTACTACAGCTCAAGAACTTTATGAGTATCATTCTAAGTACTGATGCAGATTGGAAAACTGCTGGTTTTGTGGGTTTTTTAAATGTAAAATAGCATAATTCAATACCACCTAATTTACCCATTCAGTGTATCTTGTTTTCCAGCTACTTGTCGTTGTCTTAAATGTCAGCTTCCCACAAAAACAATCAGTGATAATAAAATTTCTGATCCAAAACATTATTCAAGTTTTTTTATAAAACAGAGTAATAAACAAATTCACTTTACATGAAGATTGGGTTAAAATTAGTTGGTTTTTTTTTGTTTGCTTTGTTTTGTTGTTTTTTTTTTAAACAGGAAATGCATTCTACTTAGACGTAAGTTTAATCTTTAGTGTACCTCAAATCCACCAATAACCATAAGAGCATTAATGTTGTTAGTGCGCATCTGGTCAGCAATCTTCTCCAAATATTTTGCAGGAAGAGTACTGAAAATTATTAAACCAGAAGAAAAAATAAAAACACTTCACAAACACTGCAGCAATAATGACTGGTTATTAAGCAGTAACAGTAAATATAAGGAATAAAATATTTTTTCATATTACATATTTCATCCATACAAAAACTTCTTTCCTGACTTGCTGATGAGTAAGGAATCATGTTCAGGAATCACAAGGAGAATACAGGTTGTTAATCCTCCTAAGAAGTAAGTACCTTAGTGAATTTTTCAGGTGAGGTCCCAACTCCCATTTTTATTCTCTTTTCAGAGTTGGTACAGTACTATCAGGATACCATAGTTTGAATTTAAAATTTAAAAAAAATCTTTACTTTTTATAAAATAAGAGATTTAAAATAGTGAAAGGGGAAAAAAGCGTTGAATTACACACAAGTTATAACATTATAGAATTCAACATAGCAATTGGGAAAATATTGCCATTACCGTTTGGTACCAAGAATTGATCCTCCTTGACCAGTCCAGCCTCCAACATCTCCCCAGCTGATTTCCTTGATCTTCAAAACAAAAAAAAGGAGATTATGTTATGTGATTATACAGTTACTTCTGGCATGCAACAAACAACAGGCACCACATGTAAAGTTGCTGAACCAAGTCGTAGGGCACTTCAGCAGCACCAAAAATGAATTTGGCAATAATAGAAACCAATACCAACAAGTTAACTTAAGTTCTCTTGATTTCTTACCAGTCTCTTCCCATTCTATTTGTTCTCTCCTTCTCCAGATCATGAAAATCTCTCCCCCTTGTTTCATATGATCCTGTTTTCACATTCACTTTTAATGAACATGAAACACAAGCACCTAAAGCTAGCTTTTTTGATAGTAGTTTTGGGATATATGGCTCTAGCTGGGCAGTAAAAAAAAAAATGAAAAAAAAAAAAAAAAAACACTGAACTAATTTCATAGCTCCTTAGCAAATGGTAGTACTTAATATAAATGAATGTATAGGCTCAAATAGATGACGAACAAAGATACAATCTGGGTTTTAGGAATTTATGAAATAAAAGAACTTCAAGAATCACTTCTCATGAGAGTGCCACAGAAGACAACTTCCAAGAACATGAACAAAGTAGTAGAGTGGGATGGGATACACAATACTATACTGACCTTTCCTCTAGCAAAACCTTCAAATCCATCAATGACAGCAAACATTTTATGGCCTTCAGTTATGCCAACTCTCACTGCAGCCCTCACTGCAGCATTCATTCCAGCTGCAGGTGCACCAACATTTAAGACTGCTACGTTAAAATTGGTCTGCAAAAGAAAACCAACAAATTTGAATAAGGACTTCCATTTCTACACCATGTTCCATTTTTCCATCATACGTAGATGTTAAATATTGGAATACAGGAAAGGAAATTGCAAATCACCAAAAACCATTAAAAGTGTCAAGTCAGAAAGTACATACATAAATCTATTCTCATTTGCACAACATCCTTTAAGACTGTCACATTTTCATTTGATTTGCAAGTGGTTAATTCAGAATTCTGTAGCCTGGCTCAGCTAAATTAAAGAAAAATAAACAAAACTGCCTAAGCTATTCAACTTATTTCATATTCCCACTCAAGTTTTCCAATATGCAACTAGAATATCTCAGAAAAGAATAAAAGCTGATTTTGTTCATTCTAGCACCATAACCATTAGGCAAATGCAATCAGTAAAGATGCACAGCGGCAACTTTTAAGTTAAAAGTACCAGCCTGACTTCTAGAGCAGCTGGAAGCATAGCACGAAACAAGATTGTTCAGCATCTTGATATGATAATATAAATTTTCAGATTATGACAGATTTTAAAGAATTTCTTAACGATTCACAATTGATTGTCTACATATACTGTCATCCCCTCCTGCAAGTTTAATAGGTGTCCCATGTAAATGTCTATCTCATTCAAATGGAAAAGTATGATACATCAAGTATATATTTTTAATCTAAAACACAGATAATGTAAGAGAGAAGGTTCTGCTTAAAAACAAAAGTAATAAATATTTTGGTACATAACGTACCTGAACATTTAGTCTCTCCTTTTATATTTGTTAGTTATCAACTGCATTCCAGATGAAACAACTATGTAAATGGATGTAAGCATTGCTGACTGAGCAATAGAGGTGACTATATTCATGAAACCGAGTGACAAAATAGGATGTTAAACATCTGTCTTGTTGCAACAGACAATTCTAAGCTGTGAGAGTTTTCAAATTAAGAACTCTTTTTTTAGTGGACTTACATTGCCATGCTAATATATACAAGAGCATTCAGACCACAGATATTTTTCAAAGGGGAAAAAAAAAAAAAAAAATCAGAAATAAAAATATCCACATATAGAATTGCTTTGTAAAGATAAACAAAGCATGGGTAAACAAACAAAGGTACTTTACATGAGTAAAATTCTAGCAAGCATCTTTGGATTTAATTTCAACTGTAAAATGTGAAATGTCATACTACTGTACATGAACAAGCATTACTTGAAATATAAAACATTACCATTAAATCACAGACCACTGTCCATTATTAAGAAAAAGTCAGACAATAAGAATCACTGACACCCAAAAAGAATTATATTTTTATTGTGTATAAATAAGTATCTATTTCAATCTAAGACACTGTAACTTATCTATTCTGTTTTATACTTACAACTCTGAAATTAATACCGAGAGCAAAACATAAGTAAGTAATTAAAACTCGACATGCCTGACCTTTTAGGAAACATGCTTACCAAAACAGAACTTACATGATATCAAACTATGCAAGAAAAATGCAAGAAAATCTGACAGCCTGTGCTTATATACTGAAATTTGCCATGCTTTACACCAACTGAACAATGTTAATTTTTTTTTTTTTTTTTTATAATCAGTAACATGACAAACTTGTAGCAATTTAGTATTGGAGAAGGTCTAAAAGTTACTTGGTTTACTCTGGAAGATGGGAATACAAAACAAAAACAAACACACAAAACAACAAACAGACAGCAATTGTTAAACAACAATCAGACAAACAGAAATAAAAGACTGCATGCTCTTTGTTTTGTTTATTTTAAACTTCAGTTCAACCAAAGGACTGTAAAAAAGGCAAAGGAAGCATAACAGTAAAATATTTGTACACAGCAAAGCAGAATAGAGCATACAGTAAGCTCTGGTGATGATCAGCTAAGTCTTTTCCTCAACAGTTTGTCTACTTTTTAATTCCCCACCAACTCCTTTTAGTGAAGCAAACAGATTTGGATGGTGTGATCACATCCAAGTACTTGCTATTTATTCCAAATGACCTACAAACTCCTAGTGTCTTCCATCATTAAAGGACATAGCAAAACTACTATAAAACAAAGCAGGCTCTTGTTCATCACTGACAGAAATGCACAGCTAATGGTGGTGACTATGCTGAAAGATTGCATTCTGTAGTTGAAAATTTGCTCTATCAAATAGCATTTATTGTGCTACGCTGTTACCATATTATTTACTGAAATAAATAGGAAGCATTATTTCCAGAGTGATGTCTCTCCCTTTATTTTTTTTTAAAGTTAGTTATTATTGTAACTAAATTGTTTGTTACAAGCAATTTTTCTGCCAGTATAATAATTAACCAATTTTATAAAATATTCTACAGCGAAGATTTGAAGATAATACTAAGGGAGTAGGAGAAAAAAAGTTGATTTGTTATGAAAACTCAATGGCAGACAGGTATTGCACACATTAAATACTCCTCACCTTTGGAAGCTCGGCATCTGGCTTTTTTTGTGACAGTAATTTGTAGGTGTTAAGGTTGTTTTCAAAGC